TTTTCAAGCTTTTGCACTTTGTGGAAATATGATATATTTTGGATTTAGTTTTAATAAATTCCAGATTATTTGTCTTTATAATCTTTAAATTCTGTTGTCAATTGCATTTTAAAATAATAGATTGGGGTATGGTCTTCGATTAATTTGCGATACCGCTAACAACAAGATATTACGAAAATGATTCTACAAAAAGAACTGCAAGTTGCGGGAAATTTACAAATCATAGGACTAAGACACTTTTGAAGCTATCAAGCTCAATTTATAAGTTCCGAAGTGATTTTTTTATAAACCTTCTGGAAACTTGTGAGATGAATATATAAAAAGGAATATTGAGCACAAGAGAAACTTAAATCAATGCTGACTAATTCAAGCTGTAGTGATAATCGTAAGACGGACCAAAAACCTATAGATCCCCTGTGTTACCGTGGGAAGGAAAGGGTCATAGAGCTCAAACGTACAAAATACAGTACTATATAGCGCGAAATTAAAAAAAAAAACAATGGAAAAGAATTCCACATTCGTAACGTAATTTTTTATAATGTTGATATTTATTATTGCTTATAGTCTCCTTATTTTACTTAATAAAATTCCATGAGTTTTCCAGGTTTTCCCGAATGTTTCTACCGAAAAGTACCATAGTTTCATTAATCTATGATTCTAATTTCACGCATTTTTCAAAAATACAATCCAAATGTTTATTGGAAATATTTTAAATTGAGCTATAAATTCTGATAGGTATTATTGTTTAGAGTAAAGAAAAAATATAATTATTGGAATTATTCTCATTGAATATATTTTGGAATTACCGTTGAATATTGCCCCTTTCCTTGGAATTCAACTCACATCTATGAAATTCTCACCTAAAAAATAACTTGCAGTTCTTCTTAGATTTCTCCACAAAATTTTCCAGAACTCTCTTGCAATTTTTAACCGAATTCTTTTGAGGTTCCTCCTTTCCTCCAGAATATACCCTCTATGAATTCTCCGAAAACTCACATGGAAATATGCTCCGGATTCCTTTTTTCCCAGAATTTTATTTAAATTATCCTCGGAATGTCCTTAGATTTCTCTTTTGTATTATCTTGAAGTTCTTTTCAGAATGATCATGGTGTAGTACTTCTTCTCGAGTTCTAGGACATTGACGAAAATGATCCAATGGTTAAATTTTGTGGACATTGACAAGAACAAAAATTTACATGAACTTGGTGAAATTTTAGAGATCTGGATTCAAATTTAACTTAAACCAATCAGTAGATTAACTATGCGCATCCCGTGCATGGGATCCTGTAGATGACGTTCAATCTGTTGTTTTGGTCCAGTAGTAGGTTGGCAGTAGGTTGCCGACCGTCTTCTTATGCTTGGCACTGATGATGATATTGGGGTAGTCTTTTTTCAAGCTTTTTCGTATCTGCGATCAGTCTTGTAAGCGGTCACGGTAGTCGACACATTTTCTGTGATAATCGACTGTCTTTGCCTCCGACACTTACAAAACAAGCTATCATAGTACAGTACCAAACTCAAATGTCATTTAACATGCTCTGTCATACGACACTGTCGGCGAATACCGTCACGAATGTGTGTATTTTAGTTTTTCTCATAATAAGAGCTGCTGATGTTGTGCTTGTGTGAATTCTGAAAATAGCAAGCAATGATGTCCTAGTAATAACATTTCTGATCATAAATGGTTTAATTTACACCAAATTGAGGAATAAGAACCAAATCACTCATGTTACATGATAGTTATTTGATAATTTTATTTTTGCTCGAATGTTATTCTACCGGTTGTGTTGTGTGTGAGAGACGCCGGTAGAGCATGAGTGTACGATTACGAACAGATTGTCGCGCACGACAAAGAAGCGAGTGTCGTAAAAAACGTCAACTGTTTCAACCCCTGTCTGCGATACTGCATGTTGTCGTCGCTCGTGACGTCATTGGTTTGTGTTTCGATGCACCGTTCTCTCGATCGATTGACGAGGCGATTTATTAGTTTCGCCGGGCTTTAGTTGGGAGAAAATCGTGTTTGTGGCCGTTTTTGAGCCGACGTTGGTGGAGAAACTTTTTACTCGGTGAATGAAGTTTCGTGCCACATTCACTTTGAGTTGCATGCTGTAGATGGAATGGTAATTCAGAAACCTATCTGATGCGATCGGTTTCATGTACCATTCGGTTTTTACTGTCTGGTCATCCCTTCGTACCAGAAGCAGGTCTAAGAACGGTATTCGTCCTTGTTTCTGCACCTTCACTGTGAATTGGATTTTTGGGTGATAGGTTAAATGTTTCCCTCACCGATTCGATTTTCTCCCCCGGCACGGCCAATATCAGGTCATCGGCGTACTTTTTCAACACCGGGGGCTGGAAATCGAGCCTTGCTACTGTAGTGTCCAGCATCACTAGGTCCGCAATGGTGGGTTACCCATCTGGCGATAGGGTTGTCCTTTGAACCGGAAGTAGATGCAGTCAATGTAGAACTCCGATATCTCCAGAAACAGGTTGATGTTTGTGTGTTGCTTGATGTTGTCAGGGATGCACGTGAAAAGTGACACTACATCCAGGGAAATCAGGACGTAGCCGGGTGGAAGCTGCACGTTATTGATGTACTCACAGAAGATGAATTAATTTGGCACGTTGTATCTACCAGCGATGGACTTCTGTATGATTTTACCAACGAACTGCGAGAGTGTGTACGACGGTTACGCCATGCATGGTACTACTGGTCTCAACGGCAAACCCTCTTTGTGTGCCTTGGGGGCACTGTAGATTCGAGGGGACGTAGCCTTGAACGTCTTCAACTTCATTTCGGTTGATCTGCTAGTCGCTTCGCGAACTGATTGTTTTTTGCTTGATATCCTGATGTTGGGTCCCGATTCAGCTTCTGGTAGGTGTCGTCATCGTCTATCATCCGTTGCAGTTTGGCCTCATACTCTTCACGTTTCATCACCACGGTACTGTTCCCTTTGTCCGCCTCGATGACTACTATCTCGGGGTGTTGCTTCAGAAATTCTTTCGTTGACTTGGTGGTGGTACGGTAGAAATTTGTCGTGCCTTCCCTTTCGCCTCTCCGCGTGAAGAAAATTCTGGATTTGATTCGCAACGGCGCATCTATTGCGTTATTGAACCTCTTCCGTTTCGTGCACTCGAACGACATTCTCCACATCGGCGATCAGGTGGTAGATAGGAAGCTCATTCATATCTGTGTATGGCAATGCAAATTTCGATCCCAGGCTTAACAGCAGTTTGACCTCCCTCGGGATTGTGACGTCGGTGCTGTTGAGAAGCGATTTTGTGTTGTGGCTTGGGGTCCTGCTTTATAGGAAAACAACATTAGGACCATTTCCCATTTTACAACAAAGTTGCTTGAAATTAACTTTGCCGACGATCATATGTCTTTATATGCAATAATAAGTTAGTTTTTGAATATTAATTAATTTGAGGATCACTCTAACGTTAGCATTTCCAGACCACAAGCAAAAAATTAATAATTTAAGCTCGACCTTCTCCAATTTTTTTTCCGACTAATCGATGTTTTTCAACAAATTCGAAATCTAATCGAAAAAAAAACATCGTAGCTATGGGTAAAAATCTAAAAATCATTGAAAACACAAATAACATAAAATGACCCCCTTCAATGTACTAAAATATTTTTATTAAAAAGCTTATAATAAATGGTATGTTCTTTATGATAAGCAGAACCCTTTTTTCCGTACTGAGCATCAATTCTACCACAGTTCCTACATCTGGACCCTCCCTATCAACTCATGGACCGGGTACCAACGGTTTTACTTCCCTGTGGAAGGAAGGTGTGATCTGGCATTGAACCCAGGCTTTTTGGGATGAAAGCAGGACACTTGAAAATTATCAAAAATCTTAGCAATAACTTAACAACTAAAAGTCTCAAAAGTGGTTTTCTGTAAAAAAAAATAAAAATAAAACTTTTAAAACCAAAAGTTCAAAAATTTGTTATATGTTATTCTATGATTTTTATTAATTTTCAATTGTCCATCTTAAAAATTTCACAAAAGACGCCATTCTTCATGAGCTTTAAAATGAAATATATGTCAAATATTTTGAAGAGAGTATTTATTTGTAATTTAAGATTAAAAACACTTTTTTTTGGATTTTACTCTAAATTTCCAGCAACTTTTTGCCGTGTATATTTGTTTCTGACATGGTGTTCGAGCCGTGGGCTCTGTATTTGCCGGGATTCGGAGGTGTTTCTTTCCGTTCGGCCTTCGAACGGCGCACAGAAATCACTGAGGAAGTTGGCACGCTGAAACACTGCTGATGTTCCACCTTCACGCACTTACACGACCGTTGACTATCTTTTCGGACATACAAAAAGCCGGCTTTGGGATGCTGCGAACGTTACCGCGGTATATTTGCAACTGATCTACAATGTACCTATACACATTTCTGCTGTGTGGTCAAGTGCAATTGAGTGACCACTGGATTGAGTGAGAATTGACGATCCTCATTAGGGTGGGTCATATTTGTTGTTGTTAGTCGCATTAGATCGATTTAGTTTTAATTTCAATGGTTTAAGGATTTAGCTTTAGTTTTATACTTATGATTAGGATTACGTATTTACAATATTTACAAAATTAATTTTTTATTATAACCAGTGGGTACTGGTCATTCCGGCCACCTTGAAACATTCCCATTGTTTCAACCCTCTGAACTCTCATCTCTCGTAGTTGTACTCTCCACTCTCTCCTCACGATCGGATGTCTTCGGCAGTACGATTCCGTAATCATGACTGAACCATTCACCTTTGCGATGGTGATTGGCGGACATTGATTCAGTTGTTGGCGAATCGTTGAGGACGACTGAATGGAGGATGGCACGAGGTTGCACGAAACGGAGATCTGTGAACAACAAAAGACCCGGTAGATCGAACGGTTTGGTTTAAATTAATGGAACGCTAATCACCTGATTGCGCTCCATATGCGCATCGAGCTAGTTTCGGACTGCTCTACCGGTCTTTGTAGTTTCAGGAACTGCTGTTACTTCGGTTGGTGGTCTTTGGTTGGAACTGGCAGGATTGCGATCTTCGCAACTGGTCTCACGACGCTGTTGGCATTTGCTGTCTTCATGGTGACCACGCGAACGATCCCATCTTTGCCAGGGTGTAGCTGGGTAATTCTTCCGAGCGGCCATTGTGCAGGAGGAAGATTCTCATCCTTGATGACCACGATCTGTCCCACCTTGATAGGAACTGGTGCTTTGCAACCCTTTGCTGCTCGAGATTGGAGTTGAGCAAGGTACTCCGGATACCACCGGGCCCAAATACGCTGGAATAGCTTCTGGGTGATTTGCCAGTGGTCCAGACGGTTGTCCGGCGTGTCGACGTAGCTTGGCTCCGGAACGGATTGTAGATTCGAGCCAACCAAGAAATGACCAGGCGTTAGAACCTCGAGGTCAGTAGGATCGCACGGAATTGGGGTCAGTGGTCTTGAATTGAGGCACATTTCAATCTGTGTTAGCAGCGTTGTCATGTTCTCTTGACGGATGCTGATGTGGCCGATTTCACGCAGGAGATGATGTTTGGCTGACTTCACTGCGGCTTCCCACAATCCTCCGAAGTGTGGGGCGCGTGGTGGAATGAATTTCCACTGGATTTGATTTTCGGCACACCAGGTCTGGATGTGAGCTCGGTCAGTTTCACTGGACTTCAACATCTCGTAGATGCGATGGAGTGCGTTAGCTGCTCCCTTGAATGCAGTGCCATTGTCCGAATGGAGTTCTCGAACAAGGCCACGGCGGGCGACGAATCGGCGAAGTGCAGCCAAGAACGCTGGTGTGGACAAGTCCGTGACCAACTCGATGTGCACTGCCTTCGTTGAAAAGCATACGAAAATGGCGATGTACGCTTTGGTTGGCCCACGATTGCGTACCGTTGACTTCAGAAACACTGGTCCACAGTAATCGACGCCGCTGATTGCGAACGGGCGTGCTGGAGTCACACGAGATTTTGGAAGATCTGCTACACTCTGCTGAATCAGGATCGGCTTGTTCCGGAAGCACTTGACACACTGGTGATACGCATGCCGGACAAGATTCCTTCCACTGATGATCCAGTATTTTTGGCGCATGGTAGCGAGCATGAGTTGTGGACCGGCGTGCAGAAGAAACTTGTGGTAATAACCTGCTAGCAACTGTGCTAGTGGGTGACTTGAGGATAGCACCATCGGGTACTTGACGGTATCTGGAACTTCAGCGTTTGATAGACGTCCTCCTACACGGATGATTCCGTTGTCGTCGACATGTGGCTTCAACCATTTCAAGGGTGAGGACTTCAAGACGTCGTTACTTGTGGAACTGGTGAGCTCAGCTAGCTCTTCCGAGTAGAGTTGCGATTGAGCAAGTCGAATCAGCGTGTGATCGGTGACTACGAGATCAGCTGTCGTGAGAATGATGTTCGATGATTTGGTGGACTTACGTACTGTGGCCAGTGTTGGGAAAATATCAAAAAATCAAATCTCACCAATGCCCAAGATCACGCTTGACTTTCGTAGACAAAAATCAACAAGCGAACAATTGCGGTTGATTTTGCAAGCTATGATATCGCAGCTCGGAATACAAAGCTAACAAAACTCATCAGCTGCAAATCTCAACAAACTGTGGTGAGATTGAGCTTCATGATTTTTGCTTTACACCCGAATGAAACCGAAACGTCCATAACGGTTGGCAGCAGTCACTTCGTGTTTGCCATCGGTGAAGAGTAAAAAGAGATAGCAAACTATACTTTCTCTTTCTAAGAAAACGATGTGCAACGAAATCATTTTTGTGTCGAGTCAACTCCCAGCTTGATTTATGCACGTTGTGAATAGTCTCGCAATATCAAAGGAGCTTGTAAAATCAATATCAAGCATGATATTTTGTTCCAATATCACGCGTAATATTGAGAGCGTATGAGAGCGGAAAAATATCATTTGATTGATGATTTTGCCAACACTGACTGTGGCTTGCAATGCCTTGATATACTTGATGCAGTACGCTACTACACAGCGAAGAGTTGTGTAGTTAGAGAAGCGAGCGAATAGCCGATTTGCAAACTGTTCGTCAGAAGTATTGAGCGATAACAAAGTTACCTTCCGAGCTTCTTCGATGACGGTAATGTGTTCTTCTTCTGGAACATTCGAGACAGGCCAGTGCGCAGGAAATTCCCACAACCACTTCGGACCATCTGGACTGATTGACTAAGTCTGCGGGCTGCAATCCTCGAGATAGTTCGTCGGCTGGGTTTTCTACTCCTGGGACATGTCTCCAAGACATGTCTCTCAGTGTTGGATTGGATGGTGGAAACACGATTCGCAACGAATGTTTTCCAACGATTCGGTGGTGATTGCAACCATTGAATGACTGTGGTTGAGTCTGTCCAGAAGTAGACATCGGTAGACAGCTTGATTGAGTGTTCAACCTTCTGATACAGCTTCGTGGAAAGAACGGCTGCACACAACTCAAGTCTTGCGATAGTGTGTTTCGTGGCAAGAGGTGCCACCTTTGACTTCGATGTCAGTAATTGAACCTTTACTTGGTCGTTGTTCAACGAGCGGGTGAAGCAACAAGCTCCGTAGGCAGCGTCAGATGCACCGCAAAAGAAATGCAACTCAACCTTGGAAATGGCGGCCAAAGATACGAAACGTGTAATTCTGATGTCAGCCAGGATGGGAAGCGTAGCATGGAATTGCTTCCACTCATCCTGTAGCTTCTGCGGGAGCGGGTGGTCCCATTCGTAGGGAGCTTTGTCTTCGTTCTTTAGTTTCCAAAGTCGCTGCATGAACAATTTGGCAGTCCGTTCGGCCTTCGAACGGCGCACAGAAATCACTGAGGAAGTTGGCACGCTGAAACACTGCTGATGTTCCACCTTCACGCACTTACACGACCGTTGACTTTCTTTTCGCAGCATCCCAAAGCCGGTCGTTTCTGATTTGTCGACTACGCTATCCATCCGTCGGTAACAATAAATCAGTCAAAGTGGAAATTGAATTTTTTTTGTGTGTTCGAAAGATAGCCAACGGTCGTGTACGTGCGTGAAGATGGGTCGATAAGTAGGGTCCAGGTGTGGGAGCTGCCTTCCTGGCACGTCGGTAGCATTGGTGCTCAGCACGGAAAACAAGATCGACGGAAAAAAAAGTTAGGCGATAGTTGCTAGCGTATATTGTATTGCCGCCAGCTCAGCAACATATACGGAACAAGGAGCTTGAAGCAGGTGCTGAGAAATTCGTTATAAATACCAAAACCAGCGATCTTGCGGAATCAACTTGGTCAAAGTATGCAGTGAAAATTGACGGAGTAATTATGGAGCGATGATGCCTTGGAATCTCATGAATCTCCCATGTCATAGATACATCAAATTAATTTCCGAAGTCGGAGAACCAAACACGATTGAGATTATGCAGGGAAGGGCTGATATCCCGTGTTATGCATACGTAGTACAATGACAAACGAGCTTGTGAAAAAAAAAATGATGATGATCCCACCCACCTCTTACCCCTACAAAGGTTTGAGCTGGGCGATTTATTTTTAACATAATTAAATATGACATTTTTACCAGATTAGCAAACCAAATCGAACTGGTTACAGTTACAGATATATATTCCCCCTAGAGTTTACAGTTGTTTCACAGCGATATAAATGTGGTAAAGTTTAGGCGTCCACCTCTTAGTTCACCTTTTTTCCACCTAAAATATTCCTAAGTATTACAAGCAATCAAAAGTTAATGAGCAATCAACAAAGCATCCTATTGCACTAGCAAACCCGCAGAGATCATTCCGTGAAATTACCATGAATTTAGTTTTACTTTCATTCAATTTCAACTGCTTACACTTTAACCATCTACTAAGAGATCGCAAATCTGTGAAACAGCAACTTCTAAATCCTTAACTGCAATGAATAACACAGTATCATCTGCAAAAAGATTAATGTCGCAAAATCGTAAAACACGTTGCATGTCATTAATATACATGATAAATAACAGGGGCCCCAATACACTTCCCTAGGGCACTCCAAGGTTATTCCCCACGGAACTGGAAATATAATCATTAAAAACAGTCCTTTGAGCTCTATCAGCCAAATAGCTTTCAAACGATTTATATGCAGTACTCGAATGACCTTACCGATATCCCGATTGTTCTGGTATCAACAAACTATTACTATTTAAATACTCCAACAGCTGGCTTTTAACAACAAGTCATAAAATTTTCTCTAATGTGTGCAACATGTTGATGGGACGAAACTCTTCGGCTTTAATAGTTTCAGCAACTGTTTGAATAGGAACTGCTAAGGATTCCTTCAAAATTTGTGGCACATGTTCAGTCTGCAATGATTAATTAATAGGGTCCATCCGATTTTCCTAATGAAAAGCAAATAGCTCTAAGTTTATCTAATGTAATTGGATGAAAATCTTTAAATCTACAACTGTTATTAACTGGCTGATTTATTTCGTCAGGTTCATTGACCAATTTAATGGATTGATAAACACTGTCGTCAAAATAATCATTAAACTTAGATCCAATTACCTGTTCTGACTGTTCTAAAGTGCCATTAAAAGTTATGGTCCGTGGTTTGCAACTACTATGTTTTGATACAGATTGCAAAATTTTCCATAACTCTTTGCTGTTGTTTTGATGCTGATCAATCTTCCTCTGGAAGTATTCACAACGAATTTTTTTGTATCGATTGTGAATATTTATTACCCGCGATTGTGAACCTATTCCAATGATTATCACTATTTGATCTATACAACTTTTTATACCATTTGTCCCTCTCACCAGAACCAGTTACCATCGATAGCTTCGTTGATGCTATATTGAATTTTTCATTGCTCTTTACAAAAATCGGCAACTGTCCGACTTCATTACTTGTTTTGCGATAAGTATCCAACAAGCAATTTCAACTGCAAACCAGCTTAGCTGCATAAACAAAAAATTCATATTTAATCTTAAAAGCAGCTAAACTTGTTAGTTGGGTATATTGTTTAGAGAACTGATTGTCTTAGACTTTCTCCGTTGAATAGTCTACTATCGATGGAAAAGCACGAATCACGAATTAGAGAAACTCAATATTCGCGGAGGGTAGCAATAAACGGATGTTCAAGAGTCGCTGCTGTACCTAGCATTTTTTTATCTCTGCGACTTTAAATATAATTTAGTGTAATAGATAGCAAATTACACCAATAAATCTAACTACACTTGTTTGCTAGATTCACACACATTAGAGTTTCAATAAAGGCAGGTCAACCATGTACATTACCAAACACTAAATCCTGAGCTGCACCCGGTAGCCGTACCTATCAACTCAACACTGAAAGGCACATCTATCAAATGTGGGAAAATATAAAATTGCCACGAATATTTAACATGCAAATTTATATTTTGCGCACACACACACAAACACATATGTATGTACAAAAGCGCTGCGCACCATTCCGTTGTACTATTGCTACCGTTTATAGACTACTATTTCACATTTTATTACCACAGTTTTACGAGGAAATGCACGTTACCTTTGTTCAAACGGCGACGTAACGATAGATGGCGGTGGTTATAGAAATGTACAATAACTAGATCCGAAGCCATGTTTTACTTCATTTTTCGTTTTAATAATCACGCATACTCACACATGTCTAACATATCGTACCTTCTCTGGTTTATATTCCCCAACAGCAGCCATGGACGTTGAATCGGAAGGCGTCCAACCGGTGAGTGCCAACGGGAATGGGCACTCAGCCGCCGCAGCCGTCATCACCACAATCGACACCGACGACACACACCAGGAGTTGGCCGCCCGGAGGCGAATGTTCATGTCACAGCCCTCGACGGTGGCCATCCGACGGCAACAGGCGATTTGCGTCCGGCGAGCACACAAGATCTACGGCACCAAAAAGAACCCCAACGTCATCCTGGACGGATTGAACATGACCGTGCAGAAAGGATCGATGTAAGTACCGACGGACGTATGATAGGTTTGAAAATAATCCATCCCACCTTGATCTAAATGGTAAACAAAGCAGCAGCAATACACTTTATCCGCATGATTAACATATACTCAAAACACCGAACTTTGGCCATATGCGATGGAATTTCGATCGAAGAGAATTTTATTTGAATTAATTTCGTTCACAACCGGGAGGATTACTCCCCCTAATATTATCCATTTTCATACACCCCCCACCCCACCCCACAAGGGTGAGCTTAGCAGTGACACATCAAAGGATCTACTCCCTCTTGGTGTGGGTGCTTGCATGCACAGAGAGAGAGGTATAGAGCTATTAAATTATTCATCGGTTTGGATTTCGATAAAGTGACCGTCACCAACATGTGGGTGGAGCCCACGTGTGTACGTGGGTACCGACTTGGAGGAGAAGGAGAGGGATTCAAATTTCCGCAATTTCCGAACACTTTTCCGGTGTGAATAGCTGCGCGCAAACGGTGTGCTCTATAGATAGAGGTAGTCCGAACTGCAACGCGTGATTATCGCATTCACGAGCCGAGAGGAGATTGTGTGAAGTGGATTATGGTTTCTGCTAGGGATCAAAGTGGAACACGTGGTCGTGGGGTGAGGGGAGTGAGTTTTTGGGGGTAAAAGCAAGCTGGGAACGCACAAAAATGCATAGAATTGAAATCGCTGTGCGACGAGCTGTAATTAATTAATTTTAAATTTGATTGTTTATTGTATGGAAGTATGGGATGGAGGAAAAAATTCCACTGAATGGGTGCCAGAGGGTAGTGTGCATAATGTTTGCAAAATTTAAATTTTTCGAATGGTGAAGCGAAGTTTAAAACTTTGTTAAATCTTCAGTGGTTTTCAACATCCCTTTTAAAAAAAAAAATTACTCCACCGTTCCCTCTCCTACAAAAAAAAGTTGGATAGTTAGATGAAAACAAAGTAGACTATCACGTGTTACAAAACAAAGGGAAAATCAAGACCAACAATTGAAATGGCCTTAACTCCATTTTGTAAACAAACCTTGTAAGGCCATTTTCTAGCGAACCGAAACCTAAATTTGCAAACCTAAACCACAATCGGGTAGAGGAGAATTTCTCCTACCTGTTCATTATGTTGGTTTGCCTTTGCGGACTCTGGTAGGCGTGAAAATGGCCTTACAAGGTTTGTTTACAAAATGGAGTTGAGGCCTTTTCAATTGTTGGTCTTGAAATGTCAGCTTCGGCAATACCTTAACAACCTATTATCGTCATATAATAAATATTCTGAAACTTTGAAAAATTATGAGCCCAGTTTATAGAAAAAAATAGGTAGAGGTCAATTTTCCTGAAATTATTGATCCAAATAATGTACGCAGTTCCAAGATTGTCACTGAAGTTCTAGAAATGTTATTGGAATTCATGGAACTACCCTGAATGAATAGGAACAAAATATTCAAGTTCTCTAAACTACCAGGCAAGCATATACTTCCAAAAAAAGTTTCCAAGTTACTACAACTACCCTAAGGATCTGGACCTTCCTCTTTTCTTTCTTCACCATCTCTAAACTTCCCTGATCTTCTGTGGACTGCCCGGAAGTTTTTGAAATTTGCCTAATGTCCACAATGTTACGCCAATTCACTCGGTCCGTGGCTGCTTGTCTCCAATTTCTTGACCGTCCCACACTTCCAATATCCTGCTCCACTTGGTCTAGCCACCTTGCTCGCTGTGCTCCTCCTCGTCTTATACCGGCCGGATTCGAGGCAAACACCATTTTTGCGGGATTGTTTTCCGGCATTCTTAAAACGTGTCCCGCTCATCGTACCCGTCCAGCTTTTGCAACTTTCTGGATACAGGGTTCGCCATAGAGTTGCTCCCGCTCGTGGTTCATCTTTCGCCTCCATACACCGTTCTCACAAATCCCGCCAAAGACGGTCCTAAGCACTTGTCGTTGGAAAACACCCAGTGCTTGCAGGTCGTCCTCGAGCATTGCCCACGTCTCGTGCCCGTAGAGAACTACCGGTCTTATCAGCGTCTCGTACATGGTACATTTAGTACGGAGGTGAAGTTTACCCGACATCAGGATCTTGTGGAGTCCGTAGTAAGCACGACTTTCGGCAATAATACGTTGACGAATTTCTCTGCTGCAGTTGCTATCCGACGTCACCAATGATCCGAGGTAGACAAATTCATCCACCACCTCGAACTCAGCTCCGTCGATTGTCACGTTTCTGCCTATGCGAGCCCTATCCCGCTCGGTTCCTCCAGCTAACAGATACTTTGTCTTCGACGTATTCACCTTTAATCCAACCTTCTCTGCTTCACGTTTCAGCCTGGTGTACTACTCCGCCACGGCCTGAAACGTTTTTTTCCGACAATGTCCACGACGTCAGCGAAGCAGATAAACTGGCTGGACATATTGAAGATCGTACCCGCATGTTAAAGCCCGCACGTTTCATATCACCTTCTAGCGCAATGTTGAACAGGAGACAGGAAAGACCATCGCCTTGTCGAAGTCCTTTGCGAGTTTCAAACGAGTCCGACAACGCACCCGATATCTTCACGCAGCACTGTACACCATCCATCGTAGCCCTGATCAGTCTGGTCAGCTTCCCGGGAAAACCTTTCTCGTCCATAATCTTCCATAGCTCTTCACGGTCAATAGTATCCTAAGCGGCCTTGAAATCGTTGAGTATTTAGGTGGTGCGTAGGGACTTGATATTCACGACACTTTTGGAGGATCTGCCACAACGTATAGATTTGGTCCGTTGTCGATCGCCCGTCCACAAAACCGGCTTGATAACTTCCCACAAATCTGCTTGCTAGCGGCGATAAACGGCTAGGCATATTACTCCCTCTTTCCACTCCTTCGGTAGCTGTTCTGTATACCAGATCCTGACTATCAGTCGGTGCATACAAGTGGCCAACTTATCCGGGCTCATTATGATAAGTTCCGCTCCGATACCATCTTTCCCAGCTGCTTTGTTGTTCTTAAGCTGTCGGATAGCATCTTTTACTTCACCTATCGTGGGAGCTGGCATGTCCCCCTCATCCGCTGTACCGACGAAGCCATTCCTCCTGCCGCCTTGGTCCTCCACCTCTGCGCCGTGCAGATGTACATGGTGGTGCTGCTTCCACCTTTCAATCACCTCACTTTCGACCGATACTCCCTTCCTTATCCCGACACATTTCGGCTCGCGGCACAAAGCCTTGGCGGGATGCGTTGAGTTTCTTGTAGAGCTTGCGTGTTCTTTGAGAACGATACAGCTGCTCCATTTCTTCGCACTCCAGCTCTTCCAGGCGGCGCTTCTTATCCCGGAAAAGATGGGTTTGCTGTCTTCGCTTATGTTTATATCGCTCCACATTATGACGGGTTCCTTGCTGCATCATCGCCTGTCCGCGCTGCGTTCTTCTCGTCCAAAACCGTCTGACACTCTTCGTCGAACCAATCGTTCCGTCGATTCCACTCCACGAACCCAACGGGGCGCCTGCAGCAGCGCTGTTAATGGCTGCTTTCACATTGCTCCAGCAGTCCTCAAGAGCAGCGATGGAAATCAAACGAGCATGATTAGATTTCCACTTCATCGTCAACAGAGTTACTCGCAAACTGTACGCTTTACGACTAACAGTTAATCATCACCCGTCATGATCAAACGTTGCTACAAAAGCAACCCACAGAAAATCAATCATCGAGGGATTGAGTCCTGCTCAGAAAAGTGAGTTACCTTTTTCGCTCACTACGTACACAAATCGCAACTCGTGTGTGTTTCACATGACGAGAGTGAGGTGTGAGAGTGAGTGTTCTTTTTGTATTTTGCTGCGTTTGTTCTTCATTAGCAGTGTGGGCTTGAAGATGCAGGGCACGGTTGCTAGCAGGCTGCAAGCAATAAGAAAAAATAGATATAAGCGAATTCCCCGTCAATTCGGGGTTTCGTGAGTCGCGCGCACTGGCGCACTGCCGTATACAGACTATAGACTTAAAGCGAGATTCGCATGATAAGAATTCTGCATTTCCACTTGGGAGTTGTAAAATCAGTCGCGTTTTTCTGAATTAATACGATAACCTAACGTTGCACCTAGTGCCCTGTGTTCTCCGCTACACATTGCCTTATGCGCGACGACTACCGTGATAGTGTGCCAAAAATGTGGCCGAATTGAGGCCTTTTGATAGCCGGGTAGTCGGTCCACTGGTTCCGGTACCAGCCCAGAACGTTTCCCGGTGCACATTTTTGCGAAAATTTATAAAAAGTGTAGAGCTTCTGTGGAAATCTCATTTGCAAATTTTGGGACGAATGTGCTGAAGTGTTGGAAATTATCTCAAGATCTAAATTTTCTATGAACTACGTTGACTTCTAATTCTAATCTTTAAGGATTGCTCATTCCTGAAAAATTTGTGAAACATTCCTAAAAGATAAAAATCTATGAAACGATGATGATTTTTGATTTGCTATGTCACGTACGTTCTGAAAGTTTTTCCGAAAAATTCATTATTTTAAAACCTTCCTTCGGGCGATCGGAAACATCTCCAAAAACCTGAGAGATTCTCTAATGTTCTGGAAACAACTCAGAACCTCTTAAAGTTTTCTACAATGTTTAGAAAATCCCTCAGCTCTTTAAAACCCTGAAAATTTCACTGAAGTTTGTATACAAGCTCTGAAATACCCATTGGAAGAACTGAGAAGTTCCCTTATTTTTCTGTAAAATTTTCTAAAATGTTTATTAATTAGGTAGAAAACAAAGTTGAATTTCTTGGGGATCTGCGATGATTTTGGTGGCTACATTGCACTTCCAGCAAAATCAAAGCAGTTCTGTGTATATTGGCGTACTGGATTCGTTCCTGAAGCTCTGGTTACCATACCCTTATTTTCTATGAACTTTTATCTACAATAGTATGCTTTGAACATTTTTGAACTTAATCAACAGATTGTAGCTTTCTTAATTATTGTTATTAAATTCTTTAATCAGCTTTTAAGCTCTCGAATACTTTCTGAAAATCTTGAATTTTTTGACATTATG